CCCCAAAACCCCAAAACCCCAAAACCCCAAAACCCCGAGATATATAAATTACATCATATTTTAAAAAATAAGATAATTAAGTTGTAAATTTTTAGATTTAATTAATTAATTTATTAAAGCTGAATTGAAATAAATAAATTTATTATTTTCTAAGTAATGCTAATGGATTCAAATAATCTCAATTATCAGAAATAGAATAATCGTACCTATGCCAATAATGCTGGGCCAGGTATGGATCTTAAGAATGCATTCTACTAAGAGGTGAATGACGAGGACTCATCTGCAATGGGTCTATCAACTTTAAACAGAGGCGACTAAAATGATCTTGACTCTATGCGACAAAATAGGTTGAACAACTAAGATGATGATGATGATATCAATGACAGGTATGAGTATTCAGAAAATGGTGGAATAACAAATAATGATCCTTATATGAATCACAATAAATCTGATTTAAATCGTCGATTCAGATAAAACTAATCCAACATCGGCATCAATAGAAATAATATAGTGAACCCCTAAGAGATTAGGCAGAGCAATTAATCATATGGAGGAATTGAACACTTACAGATGAAATCACGAACAATAGAGCCAATGACTAATGCAGACAAATAAGTTTAGAATAATTACTTTGTGGGTGAGGATTAATTTGTTGATCCTGAGAATGGGAAATAGAAAGGCAGGTATAGAGAAATAGATCCTAACATGTAGGGAATCTCATAAACTATAGATCCAGACATAATTAAGGGCAAAAAAATTTTGAGAAAATCAAATCAAAACTAGTTAGGTGGGCTTAAGGTTACCAATAACGAATCTAATCTTTAGCCTACCGCAGAGGGTTTCGACGAAACATACTAACCTCCTAAAAAAGGTAAATTTAAGAAAGACCGTGAATAAGAGATGATTATCGATGATAATGAATAAAGCTCCAGGGGTTTTAAAAATGAAACTACCTAAAATTATTTGAATGCTCAATTATAAAATCCAAATTAAAATAGCCGTAAAAATCTAAAAACAAATGAAGACTTGGCTGAATAGAAAGAAACTTTTAATGATATGCTTGAGTTCTACAATAGATCACCCAAAGTAGGTTATGAAACAAATGAAGAAAACGACAATGCTAGGAACAAATCTCAAGCTATTCTAGATGAAAATCCATATCAGCAAATTTAGTTTCCAGAGAATGAAGATGATGATCTCAAAAAAGAGAGATCACCATCAATAGACTATGAAAATGATAAGACCAGAGAGAGAGAGGTTAAAATTAAAAAAAAGAAAATTTTAAGGAAAAATAAAGATAAAGCATATGCAAATTAAGAATATCAAGATTAGAATAGAGCACTTGAGAAGTTCGCTTAGAATTTCCAGATGAAAGATAGTAATGTGAACAATGAGGATTTAAACGATAGAAGTTTGGATTCTGAAGAATAGGATGACTATACAAAGGAATACCTAAGATAGTAGAAAAATAAAAGTAAATAAAACACATCAAGACTAGTAAAGAATCAAAAGCAAATGGATCCAAATTAATACGGTCTTCAATAAGTGAAGGTTGCTGAAGTACTTGAGGAAACTAGAAAGACTTCAAGAACTCAAAGAAATAACAAGCTTGATGAGACCAAGAGCTATAAAGGAGACTATACTGATAGAGAGAGAGATTTTGGTAAGAGTCTAAACAAAACAGCAATGAACACCATCGATAACAAGTTCGAGGTGGGCGAAGTGGAATATAAAGACGAGGAATTAAATAAAAGTTAGAGTAGAATAGCATCTAAAAAGAATACTCAAAGATTAGAGAGAGATGAAGTTAGATAGTAATCAAATACTGATTTAGGAATAGGGGCAGAGCATACAATTAAAGAAATATAGTACTAAGATAAAATAAGACGTAAAAGAGAGCAAGAGTAAAAAAGAAGATTGCAATATGATAGTTCTAAGCCAATGTTAGATTCCTAAGAGCGGTAGGATGACTATGACAACCAAGTAAACTATTCTTATGTTGTGACTAATGAAAATTAGAGGATTTTGGATTCCGATGAAGAGTAAAAAATGCGCAAGATCATTATGAGTAAAGCTGATGAAAACGAAGAAGATGACGAAGAAGATGAGGATAATGACTATGACTATGGAGATGCTTAAATTAGACAGGTCCCTGCTAGGTCAGGGCACATAAGTGAGCTCCCTCCTAATGTTTAGGATTTTGTGGAGATCAGTTTATAAAAATCCCATGACCAATCAATCAGCAACTCTTAAAAGAGTTCTGCTCGTCAAGAGCAAAATAAACTGGAACTTTCAGATTAATTTGACAAATTACATTATAATTTGCAGCAAGCACTCAATGATGCCTAGCTTAATGAGTCTAGGAAAAATATAGAAATCATACCATTTGATACTGAGTGCTTTCACTCATTGATTTTAAACACATATGATGACTGGTACAGCGATGTGTCTATCAAATGGAATATTAAAGATTACATGGAAGTAGTAGAGAAATCGGAACTTGAAAAGATATTTGGATAACTTCTAGAATAGAATGAATATAATACAATAACCATTAACAACATGCCATTTTTGGATTTAGGAGATCGGCCAAGCACTTATAATCCAAAAAGACCTGAAGCTGAGCAGATCTTTATTGTCCCTGAGACTTAAAAGCCTTCTAAAATAATCATTAGATACTCAGACTGTAAGCCAGTCTATTACATTGGGAGTTTAAATGAGAAGTATAATTAATTTGGCTTAGAAGCTAAAGGAATCAGTTTGCATGATATTTAAAGCACTCTAATGAAGGCATCAATTTATCTAAGACCTTACAGAGGTTAGGTCTCAAGAATTGATAGAATAAATCTAATTAATATTCTAGGAGGTTTAATAATAACGATTGCTTTATCCATGTCAATAGGCATAACCATTCATTGGGCATTCTCATTAATCTTCATCGTAATATATTTCTTCTTCGCAGCATTATCAATTAGAATAACTAAGAAAAAATCTAACAGATATCTAAGACAGGCTCATTTCATGCTAGCTGTGTATTGCCGCGCTGAAAATAATAGATATTTTCTCAAGAATAATATAGAAATGAGACCAGGATTTTTAGCAAAGTGGATAGAATTCAACATCAGAACGAAACAAGATAAGCTTTCATAAGCAGCTGATTAAGAAAATGGAGAAGGATAAAATAATGATGAAGATTTAGCAGCTGCTGTTGCCTCAGGAGCAATGGAGTTCTCAACTGAAAAATATGTAGACTTTATGAGGGATAGATGGGATAAATAAAAGAAAGTTAGTCAAGCTTAAACATTAAAGCAGGAAGGTAGAAGAGGACCTATTCCTATAAAAGACATTGAGCAATATAAGCAAGATCAATAACTTGCAATGCTACTGTAAGAGTAAGAAAGCAACAATTTTGATTAATCAGCAATGAATGTTGAAAGCAAAAATAAATAGAGTTAAAATGATGAAGATGGGGATGAGGAGATGAAGCATGATCCTCGCAAGAATCATAAGTAGAACCATCCTTTGTTCAACTAATAACTTGATGGAAGGAGAAAGGTATTGCCACCTTTGAAAAACTAGCCCTAAATTAGCCAAGATAAAATTTATTCAGGTCTATACATACCAAACACAGGTGCTACTGCATCTATTCCGAACAAGTAAAAAATCCGTAAGAATTTCGCAGTTGGAATGTAAAACTCGCCTGATAAGAAATTCAGGAATGAAGAGGACTATAACTACTAGGAGGAAGAGTAAAACCTGCCCTCTTCAATGAAAAAGCTTAAGAAAAACTATTACAACAACAACTTACCTGCAATTGTATAACAGAAGAGCAACGCGAGTTTAAAGCAGAGTAGTGGGTTTTAAAATGAGTATGAAGAAGATGAAAAGGTTGAGGAAGATGGGCCAAACTAAAGAGTGTCTATTTAAAGCAATCAAAATCTTTAGAAGCAGGCAAATTAAGGCAGAGCAGCTAGCAGGCAATAGCAAGTCATGCAAAAGTAGCAATCATTTAAGAAACAATTTTAAGAAGATGTTAAGTATGGTAAAAACAGCTCAGTAGGTAATAAGAACAATATTGAAGAAGATGACGAAGATGATGATGACTATTGAATCTAATAACTAATTGAATCTATAGAATTTACTATAACGAATAAAAAATTTATATCGACTAATTAATCTCAGCGGGGTTTTGGGGTTTTGGGGAGATCGGAAGAGCACACGTCT